GCAACAATATCCTGGACATTCAACAGTTAAAAGATTTTTTACACGACAAATTCACCATCAAAGATCTTGGTAAACTCAAATTTTTCCTTGGAATGGAGGTGGCAAGATCCAAGACTGGTATTTCCCTTTGTCAAAGGAAGTATGCTCTTGACATTCTGGAGGAAACGGGCCTCACTAGCTCCAAACCTGTTGCATTCCCCATGGAATCCACTTTGAAGCTCTCCTCTACTGACACTCCCTTGCATGATGATCCATCTGGCTATCGCCGGCTTGTGGGCAAGTTGCTGTACTTAACCATCACCACGCCTGACTTGGCCTATTCTATCCAGGTGCTCAGTCAATTCCTTGCCTCTCCTGCTGTGAGTCATTTTCAGGCAGCTACCAGGGTTCTACGATATTTAAAGGCCACCCCAGGGCAAGGTCTCTTCTTTCCAGCTTCTTCTGAACTCCATTTAAAGGCCTTCTCCGATAGTGATTGGGCAGGTTGTATTGATACTCGACGGAGTGTCACTGGTTTTGCGATATTCCTTGGAACCTCCTTAATCTCGTGGAAATCAAAAAAACAGGTTACTATCAGTCGCTCTTCAGCTGAGGCAGAGTACAGAGCTCTTGCAACCACTACTTGTGAAATCCAATGGCTGCTATATGCTCTAGATGATCTGACCATTAGCCACCCTCAGCCTGCATCTCTCTATACTGATAGCAAATCAGCTTTGTCTATTGCGACCAATCCAGTGCAACACGAAAGAACTAAACATATCCAAATTGATTGCCATCTCGTTCGCGAGAAATTGCAGCAAAACATCATCAAAATATTCCACATTCCATCAAAACTTCAGCTTGCTGACATCTTTACAAAGCCCCTTGGTTCCTTACTCTTTCATCATAACCTTCGCAAGATTAACATTATTAACATCCATGTCCATCTTGAGGGGGGGGGGGTGTTGGAGTATTGAATCCAAAATTGATCGCATGGAAATCAAACGAAAAGAAGAAAATGACAAAGCAAAGGAAAAGAGGGAAAATTAGTTTCAGGTACCTGCATTCTGTTACGGGTCAATTGCTTTTCCAATTAGTTCACATTTTCTGTTATCTTGTTATTTGAGTTGTTATTTCTAGCCGGTAATTCCTTGTATAAATTAGGCTACTATCTGATGTAATTATTTGATTTGATCAAGTTTATCAATAAAAGTCAATTCATCTTTTCTCTCAGCTTTTTCTTTCTTCTTGCTGGACTTTATCAGATGACAATCCATATAGTGAATTCACAATGGCGAGGCGTCTGCTTGGAGGTGGCCAGAACAATTTATGCTTTTCGGATAGAGTTGACAGAATCATCACTGCTTTCACTGTCACTCCCGCTACTTCCACTTCCACTCCTTGTCCCACATAGGAAGTGGAGGAAATTTAAAACCACTTTATAAATGATTGCACTTTA